CTCTTTTTTTTTTCTTTAATTTTTTCTTTTTCTTTATACAAGTTTGCTGTGATGGCTTTGATAGATTCTTTGAATTATTGTATTAATATTTCAAAATTGTTTTGTTATACTGTTTTTGTTGAACTTTTTTTTGTTCTTAAAGTTTCTTGCTTCAATCTAATTTTAGCTTTGACTTTATTTTAGTAGCTTGTTTTTTCTTTTGTCAAACTTGCATCTTTCTCTTTTCTTCTTTAGCTTTTTTTCTTATCTTATGCTAGTTTATTGTGATAGTTTTGACAGATTTTTTGAATTGATATAATATAATCTATAGAGTTTGGAAGTTTAACTATTAAGCTATGAGACCCAAACTCTATTACTATATTTTTTAAAAAATCTATAGATTTTATTTTATTAAACTAATATTAAAATTTAGAAATTTTAGGTTATTATAGTTAGAGTTTAATATAAAAAAGGTAATTATATCAAGAGTTAACTGTATTAGTAAATATATTTTACAAAGATATTATATTAACTAATATATTTACAAAAATACTATATTGATTTTTATATTATTATAATTTTATATTTAATAGATTTATCTTATAAAAACAATATTTTGAAATATTTAAATATTTAATATAATAGACTTGGATTAAAATATTTTGCAACTAGCTTTGGTATAAAATAAACTTGTTAGTTTAAAACAGAATAAATATTATAATATTGATAAATATTATGCTTAACTCAATTTGTATCTTAATTAAAAAAAAGGTTTTATTAAATAAAAGAAAATAGTATAATTCATAAATTTCGACGGCAAGTATATGCATCATTTAGCGCGGTTGTATATGTGATTTTTTTTTGCAAATAAAGTATAAGAACTGACTTGGAAAGTTTTGCGATTAACTTTTTTGGTCAAAATAATTTTTTTTTAATTATTTCAAAACTTTTATAGATTTTATTTAATATAGAAGAGAATTATACGAATCATAAATTCATCGTTTGTATAAATATAACCGAAATTTTGAATTAATCCTCCCCTTTCTTTTCTAAATACCTAATAATTTTAGCCGGATTACCAGCTACAACTACATATGATGGAACGTTTTTAGTAACCTAAAAAAAGGATTAAAATCTTATTAATTTCATTAAAAAAAAAGATAATTTGTTTCAATTCGCTATTTTAAATATTATACCACAGATCCTGCACCAACAGTTACCTAATTCCATATAAATTAAAGAAATTAGTAAATTCTGCGCCATATTGAAAGGAAAATATTAACACTTACCCCATTCCCAATGGTAATTCCAGGACAAATAATGGCTCCACCGCCAATCCATACATCATTTCCAATCTAATATCATATAAAATAAAATTAAAACTTTATTTTTAAAAAAAAAATGTCAGAGTAACTTTTTAATACCTTTATGGGAAGAGCATATTCAGGGCCTTTTGATCTTTCTTCAGGTTGTAAAGGATGAGTTGCAGGATAAAGTGAAACATTTGGTCCAAACATAACACGATCTCCAATTTCAACTTTATTACAATCTAATATTGTACAGTTAAAATTACAATAAAAATTATCTCCAACGTGAATATTATATCCCTACATGTAAAGAATTAATATCGGTTAATCTATTTATCTATTTGGTGGATAATTAAATACTGGCAAAGCTTACATACATAATCACAATAGAATGGCGGTTCGATTTCAACATCTTTACCAACACTACCAAA